TCTACATAGGAGAACATAAAAGACTCAGTCAAGAGACTATTGGAACTCATAGGAGACTTTGGCAGGGTAGCAGAATACAAAATTAATGAACACAAATCAATGGCGCTAGTGTACGCAAATAATTCCATGGATGAGAAAGAAATTGTAAGTACGGTTTCCTTTAAAATTTAGGAGAGGAATCTTAAATACCTAGGAATTATGCTAACTAAATGGGTGAAAGACCTCTATGAGGAAAACTAAAAATCATTTTAATTTATTTTTTTTATTATGTTTTTATTGGAAAGGCGGATATACAGAGAGGAGAGACAGAGAGGAAGATCTTCCGTCCAATGATTCACTACCCAAGTGAGCGCAACAGCCAATGCTATGCCGATCCGAAACCAGGAGCCTCTTCCGGGTCTCCCACGAGGGTGCAGGGTCCCAAAGCTTTGGGCCGTCCTCGACTGCTTTCCTGGGGCCACAGGCAGGGAGCTGGAAGGGAAGCGGGGCTGCCGGGATAGAACTGGCGCCCATATGGGATCCCGGGCATGCAAGGCGAGGACCTTAACCACTTGTGCCACCGCGCCAGGCCCTAAAATTCATTTTAAAAGGAAATAGAAGAAGACCTTGAGAAATGGAGAACCTTGCCATGTTCTTGGATTAGCAGGATCAACATTATCAAAATGATCATATTACCAAAAGCAATATACAGATTCAACACAATCCCAATAAAAATCCCAACAACATTCTTCTCAGAAATGGAAAAGATGATACAAAAGTTCATCTGGAATCACAAATGACCATGAATAGCTAAAGCTATCCTGAAAAATAGAAGTCAAACTGGAGGAATCACAATTCCAGACCTCAAGACATACTACAGAGCAGTGGTTATCAAAACAGTCTGGTGCTTGTACAGAAACACAGAATATCAGTGGAAGAGAGTAGAAACACCAGAAGGGAATCCACATATGTTTTGTCAACTAAGCTTTGACAATAAACAGAAAGCAATCCAGGGGAAAAATCTGGCCTATTCAATAAACACTGTTGGGACAACTGGATAGCAGCTTGCAGAATTCAAAAGCAAGACCTGCACCTGTCGCATTACACAAAATCAGCTCTAACTGGCTCAAGGACCTAAATCTACACCCAGAAACCATCAAACTATTAAAGGAAAACATAGGAAACACACTCCAAGATATTGGAACAGGGAAAGACTTCTTAGAAAAGACGCCCAAAGCAAAGGCAATCAAATCCAAACTGAACAAATGGGACTACATCAAACTAAAAAGCTTCTGCACAGCAGAGGAAACAATTAACAAAGTGAAGAAGCAACCAACAGAATGAGAGAAAATTTTTGCATACTACACAAGCAATAGGGGACTAATATCTAAGATTACAAAGAGCTTCAGAAACCCAGGGACAGCACAAAAAACAACCCTGTAACAAAATGGGCAAAAGAAATGAACAGACATTTCTCAAAAGAACAGATTCAAATGACATATGAAAAGATGCTGAGGCTCCCTAGCCATCAGAGAGATACAAATAAAAACCACCTTGAGGTAGCCCCTAACTCCAATGAGACTGCCCTATATTCAGAACTCGAATAACAACACCTGCTGGTGTGGATGTGGGAAGAAAGGCACTTTCCTTCTTTACTGCTGGTGGGAGTGTAGGCTAGCACAACCACTGTGGAAATCAGTATGGAGTGTGCTGGGAGAATTGCAAATAAACCTGCCATATGACCAAGCTATTCCTTTTCTAGGAAAATACCCAATGGAAATGAAAACTGTATAGAAGAGGATCTGTAATCCGACATTTGTAGCAGCACAACCTACAATAGCAACGACATGGAAACAATCCAGATGTGCGTCCAAGGAACAATGGTTAAAGAAACTGTGGTACTACAAAGATATATAAGCGGAATCATGAGCGATTCTGACAACCTGTTAACAGGAGGTCATATGCACAGAGCAGTGGGGGACCCCAGGGTGGAGCAGGTGGGCAGGAGGGGACTTGTATCCCAACCCTGGTGACTCCCGGATCCTCACAAAGGACTATCAATACGAGCAACAAGGACTACATCCCAACGGCCAAGCAGACCATGGGAAACTGGAATGCCTTCAGTGGCCAAGAACTCTGAGGTCATACACCCCCGTTTGGATCCACCACATGGGGTGAAAGAAGCCCAAACCCTTTCTTGCAGGATTCAAGGTCATCGGAACAGTAAGCTTCCTTCAGGACTAGGAAGAGGAGCTTTCTCTGGTTCTCACTTGGTTCCAACTTTGGAACCCCACCCTATCTTGCAATGACCATTAGGGTCACTCCAGAGCCCCGTACCCCAAAACACACATACACACACACATGCACAAACACACACACACACACATTGGAATAGATAGACAGAGAACAACAAGGAAAGCTTGGAACCAGACGGGAAACTGTCAGAATGGACTCACACATGCCTTATTAGGTAGGACACAAAGATTACTTACTCCTCACTAAGGTATTGAAGATGTCTCTGCACACCCTCCTAAAACTGTTCTGCACTTCGACTGTTGACATATGCCTTGTTAGAGTTATAAGCCAGTTTAGACTATCCTAAAATCTGCCAAGTTCAGCAAAATTAAGCTTCAACACTATAAACGGCTGAATGCTAAAATGAAAATAGTCACAATACAGCTGAATAGTACCCTATAGCCATTTTAAGGTGTATAGCAGCCAGTTCTGTGTATAAACCAAAATTGAAATGTCAATGAAGTAATCAGAGGATGTGGTTAAGAACTTGCATTTTCTAACATATTTGTTACTCAATACCATGTCAATTAATTCCATAATGTTGTAAATTGATGTTGATGTTATGTTGTGGCTTTTAATTGATCGGGATGATATTCTGCCAGCTCTGCTTTCAGACCAGAGATGGTCTCCCCAAGAAATCGTTGAACTTATCTGGACAATAAGATGCTGGACTTTATGCTTGGCAGATGCTTACAATGAAAGAATCTTGACTGAATTTGAACTGTAATACTGTAACAAGGTGGAGGAATCCACCATGAGGGGAGGGTATGGGGAGGAATTGGGGGAATCCCAGAACCTATGAGACAGTGTCATATAATGCAATGTAATCAATAAAAATAATATAACAAAAAAAAAAATCACAGGAGACCGCTCACAGGAAATGCTATAGGCCAGAAGAGAATAGAGTGACATAGTCCAGATTCTCAAAGCAATAAAATTGTCAGCCCAGGATAACATACCCAGCAAAGCTTTCCTTTCTCTTGGAAAATGAAATAAAATTCTTCCACAGTAAAGAAAAGTTAAAAGAGTATGTATGCCTCTTCCAAACCTGCCCTACAAGTGATACTTACTTAAAGATGTTCTCTTGACAGAGAAAAGGAACAGCACCCACCTAAGCCAAAGGCAAATGTGAAGAACATCCCAGTAACACAACAACAGAAGACTAAATCAATGAACAACCCATTGCTAAAAAAAACAGGACCAAATTACCACCCATTCACATTAACCCTCAATGTAAATGGCTTAAACTCATCAATCAAACATCACAGATCAGTAGACTGGATTAAAATAACAAAACCGATCTATTTGTTCCCTACGGGGGCACGGGTAGGATATATCTCACCAACAAAGATCAGCAGAAACTGTATCTCACAGATTTTGATTTTTGTTTGTTTGTTTCATCTCTTTAAAACACTTTCTTCTGATTAAATTCTTCAACAACTCATAGATCATACAGTAGCGTTATCTTCTTCAAGAAGGTTCATGATTCTCTTCATTTCTTCAGTGACACATTAGTCATTCAGTAGCATGTTATTTAACTTCATGACATCTTTAATTTCTTCCTTCCTTCCTGTTATTGATTATGTTTTGTGGCTTTTCATTTAAGGGGATGTACAGTAACTGTATAATGGAGACTATCTAGCAGTATGTTACTTCATGGCATTGCCAATTTCTATTTTTCTTCCTGTTGTTGATTTAGTATTGTGGCTTTTCATTTAAGGGGATGTATAGTAACTGTGTAATGGAGACAGTCATAACCAGATGTGAGGATACAATGCAGTATGCATCTCTACTTCCAGACAAAGATGGACTCCCAGTGAAACTGTTTACTATATCTTGACAATAGGATGCTGGACTCTCTGCCATTATCCATGCCCACAATGATGGACATCCATACACATTGCATATGAAGAACCATACTACAGTAATAATATAGAGGAACTCAGTGAGGTGGGAGCAACTTGGGTAGGGGATAAGGGAAATCCCACAATCAATGGAATTGTATCATAAAATGATAATAATAAAAAGAAAAAATGAATGTTAACACCTGTAACTGTTACTAAAGAACTGTACTACTGTAATAATACAGGGGAAATGGTGGGAACAAGAATAGGAAGGGTCGCAGGGGAGGAAATAATCCCCAAACATACAAAATTGTACTGTGGTAAATAATAATTACAATTTAATTTTTAAAAAAAACCTTTAAAAAGAAAAAAACTTGTGTTCACTTTTACAAAAGAAGTCGGTTTAAAATCTTAAAAATTTAAACAAAAACAAATCATACGTTTGTAGAGACGATATGCAGTTTCCCAAGCCACCTGCCTGTATCTCCAAATCCTGCTTTCAAAAACATATATCAGATATACACGTTACCTAACAGAGTAAAGATTTTTCCCTCAAAGAGAAATCAACACAGGAAGTTCATCTATCATGCACTTGAGGAAACATTAGAATGGTCCAGAATAACGAGTTTCACTCAATTAAAGAGACAAAAAGGGGGTTAAAATAGAGAACAGCCAGACCATGGCAGAAAGTGAAACTAGGATCCCTGGTCAGCAAAGCCTGGACAAAGTAACGACCAACTTGGACATCAGTGCCTGGGATGTGTATGATCCTTGTCAGGAGAAGCCTCCACACCTTTACTCCGTATACTTCATGTTAAAAGGCTCTGAGTTGAGGTTGCTGCGTATGCACTGCGTATGCACGGAAGCTTGTAGAATACTCACCCCCACATATTTCCATACTTCTTATGGCATTTTATGTCAAAATCCCACATACTCTGGGGACAGAAACAAAAAATGAAATTTTGATTATTCTACCTATAGTAAACTCTATCCCAATTCAGACCAAAAAAAAGTGTTCCAAATAATTACAACAAATTTAATGTTTTCTCCAGTATTTATGTGGAAACTCATATTCATCTGAGTCTAAAGGAAAAAAGACATTTGAAGTGAAGAATTCAAAGGCACTCTTGAGTTTTCCTTGAGTATCATGGAAAACTAGTGGCTTTCCCTTGATACAGATATACATAATCCTTGTCAACTGTGAAGTGCTTTTCTGGGTCTCTGTGGTCTCCAAAATACCATAAATCCCTCTGAGGTAGTCCTGATGGACACATGGGGAAACTGAGGCTTAGGCAAAGCTGTGAGGTTCCCAGACATGCATCTGCTCATGAACTCTCTCGAGACTTCTGGCATATTTAGGAAGTGATAGCAGTCAATCTCTTTTGTTCTTGAAGATTTATGCCACTTTTGCACATGTTGTTGAATGAGAAACTGTATGAGTGAGAACACATGTGGACTCACCTTCCAGTTTTGGAGCACAATATGGGAAAGATGAACAGATATCAGCTCTACACACAGGTCCCAGCACACTACAACACAAGCATTCCAGCAGAGTGGCTCACACACTTCTCTCCCATGTTTCAATGTCTGTGTTCCACACCTGGGCCTGCCTGTTCACTTTAAATCCCCACTAAAACGCATCCCAGGTGCAGCAGTGATGGTTCAACTACGGGGTACCCCTAACCCATATGGGAGACGGAGACGAAGTTCCCAGCTTCAGCCAAGTGTAGTCTCAGATATTGAAGTCCCTTGCGGAAGTAAATAAGCATGTGGATGCCTGCTGTCTCACTCTCTCATGCCCCACCAGGTACATAAATAACACTTGCTATTAACTCTCATTTCTGAAACGTAAAGCAAAAAATCTTCCTTTGCTTTCACTTGTGATAATTTTAATATGAAAAGAAGGTCCTAGATGATGGAACTTGGAGGTATAGCTACTATAAAACTCATCTAGGAAAAATAAAGAAGAAATCATTGCCATCTCAGGAGAAAAAAAAAAAAAAAAACCTTATTTCACAGGTTTCTATTACACAAGAAAGCTCCATTAAGGAGAATTAGTGTCAGAAACAGTGCTAGGGACTGTGGAAGAGGAAACTGCACCCACACAGCAGTGCATGAATGCACAGTCTCTGCTGCTGTTCCAGCAGCAAAAAAGGTATACACACACACCACACGCACACTCACCCGCACACACCACACACACGTACACTCACACGTACCACACACACGCACACTCACTCACATGTGCCACACACACATGCACACTCACACACACTCACACACCACACACGTACACTCACATGTACCACACACACGCACACTCACTCACACGTGCCACACACATGCACACTCACACGTACACTCACTCATACACACACGCACACACACTCACACACACACAGATTTTGCTGCTGGAATTCTAGACCTGACCTAGTGACTCTCAACCCAAGAGCCAGGTCCTTACAAAGCATCATAGAGGCTAAACACCAGGAAGTGAAGATACCTTGCAGCCTGCATTTCCACTCCCAGGTGGAACAGTTAAATACACCGTAATAATATGATGGCAGATTTTCTGCCTTTGTCTAAACCTACAATGCCATGGTACATGTGGGTAACAGAATGTTGAACTTGGCAACTGTTGCTGCAGGACTGTGGTACAATAAAGGTATCAGGGGAGGGCCCGGCACCACAGTAACCTAGTGGCTAAATCCTTGCCTTGATACAGTGGGATCCCATATGAGTGCCAGTTCATGTTCAGGCCGCTCCATTTCCCTTTCAGCTCCTTGCTTATGGCCTGGGAAAGCAGTAAAGGATTGACCAAAGCCTTGGGACCCTGCACCTGCAGGGAAAAAGCAGAAGAAGCTCTTGGCTTCCGGCTTTGGATCTAATCAGCTCTAACCATTGCAGCCACTTAGGGAGTGAGTCAGCAGACAGATCTTTCTGTCTCTCCTTCTCTCTGTAAATCTGGCTTTCCAATAAAAATGAATAAATATTTTAAAAATACTATCAGGGAAATAGTGGAAGGGGGAGGTGGAGAAAAATCTCTGTGACTATAAAATGGTATTAAGGGAAAAAATAATTTTAAAATTATAAGTTTAACTGCAAAGGTGTCTTCAAAATGCCCAAACCCTGTGATGTATTTTATATTCCATTCAGCTTTATGAGAATTTTAATGTTTCTCAAGCTATCCCCTCTTCTACAATTACGCTTTTAAAAACCTGTTTTGGGTTTGGATATCTGAAGTTCACAGATAAACACAATTCTGTCTCCATTACATCCACGCTGGCTCAGACTCACCCATGAGGGTACACCTGTGAAAGAAAATAAGTAAGGCAGAAACCTCTTTTTCTGGCTCTTAAATCCCCAACAGATGTCACAGGTAGCAAAACTTTGGTAGAAACACAAAAAGAGGGAATTCAGCAATTCTTGGGTGAATAAAATCATCCAATTCTCTCGTGGTAAGTACCTAAGTGCTTAAAAAACCGAATTTCAAAACTATGCAGGAGGAAAGGACCAAAAGCAATCATGGTCTCTTGCTACAAGCAGGAGAGTTAGAATCTAGAACGCACAGCTTCATGAATCGCCAAGGAGTCCCCTTCCCACGTGGCTCCAAATACAACCAACAGTGATACACGTTCTTGAGAATGTGCCAGGGAAAACTCAAAGCTCTCTATAATGTTCACAGAGCATGAACATCAACTCTCAGCTGAACCGTGAGACCTCAGCTGATGAACCACAGAGTAAGTTTCTTTTCACCTGAGGCAAACATGAGACTTCTAGCCCCAGAGCAAACTTCTCCATCTCCTGGGACCCACACATCAGTCAAGAAGTGGGAAAATTCACAACTCCCCTGCGGAAGAGAACTTCATCTCATAGAATTGACTGGCTCTGTACGAACACATGAAGCAGAAGTAGTTCAAATGACACTCACCTTACGGTAGCTCATGATATTACCCAGGAAAGGCAGAGGTGTTGGCCCAGGAATGCCCAGCTTCTTAAAAAGTCCATGTGTAGAGGTGCCATAACTGTAAAGTCAAGGAGAAATCAGGTCACAGGGGTGATAGTTTACATAGAGGTGACACCTGCTCAGGAATCAGAACAAATCAGGGAGGTAACAAGTAGCCAGTGACTAACAGCAGAACTCATTATCTCCTTCCTCATCACAAGTACACCAAGAAGTCACAATGACTCAATAAAGGCCTTCAACGTCCAAACCCTAGACTGAGTCCCTGAAAAACTCGCCCAAATGACAGTGGGTCTGAGAGGCTCAGAAAATTTGGGGAAATTTTGCAAGACTTTAGCCTAGGTAAAAAGTATTATCTTCTTGGATAAGACTCCAAAAGTACAAAAAATAAAACCAAAGCTAGACAAATGGGATTGCATCATGTTCACAGCAAAGGAAACACTTGACAAGATAAAGAAGCAACTGACAACATGGGAGAAAATATTTGCAAATTCTATATCTGATAAAGGATTTAATCTAAGATTCATAAAGAGCTCAAGAAACTCAACAACAAAACAAACAATACAGTTAATAAAGGGGCAAAGGGCATGAACAGGCATTTTTTTAAATGATGGAATGGAAATGGCCAATGGACAAAGGAAAAGATACCAAGAGTTACTAGCCATCAGAAAAATGCAAATAAAAATTACAATGAAGTTTCTACCCATCCCAGTCACAATGGCTATCAATAAAAAAATGATACTGGTAATGATGTAGAGATAAGGGAGCTTTGATATGCTAATGGCAGAAATGTAAACCAGTACAATCTATAGAAAACAGTATGGAGAGTCCTCAAAAATATGAAAGATGATCTACCATATGATTGAACCATTTCATCTCATTCCTGGGAATTTGCCCAAAGGGAATGAAATCAGCATAGTTATCTTCTTTGATTTATATTTAGGAAATACATAAAATATGTTTTCTTTATATTAGTAAGCTTTTTAAAAACATGTAATAAAAAGAAAAAAGAACTGGGCCTCCTTGAAGCTTGTTCAGTGGACAGCATGCCCTGATGCTCATGGGGGACGTGACAGATCATTGAGGCCAGTAGAGGATGTCTGGTACTATGGCAGAACATGAAGGTCAGAATAAATTAGACAACTCTACCAGCCAAACTTTGACAGCAAGTATCTTAGCAAGTGGAGCCTCTAGGGTGGACTATGTCAGTCAATGGACCTTGAGTAATATCTCAATATTGGAGCAATGAAATTAAGAGCATCTCAGAACCATCAAAACCACTTAAGCAATACCCTTGGAACATGCTCCACATCAGGGAACCTAGGATGACATCAAGTTGCCTTTCCTCATCCCTGGGTGCTCATGCAGTTAGGCTGCTGTAAACAGCCCTTTCCCCATCTCTCCTCTCTTCCTCCAGATACAGGGAAAAAAACAGAGAGGGCCCGGCATGGTAGCCAGTAGTTGAAGTCCTTGCCTTGCATGTACCGAAATCCCACATAGGTGTCTGCAGTTCGTGTACCAAGAGCCCCACTTCCCATCCAGCTCCCTGCTTGTGGCCTAGGAAAGCAGTGGAAGATGGCCCAAAGCCTTGGGACCCTGCACCCACATGGGAAATCCAGATGAAACTCCTGGCTCCTGGCTTCAGATCAGCTCAGCTCCGGCCATTGCTGTCACTTAGGGAGTGAATCATCAGACAGAAGATCTTCCTCTCTGTCTCTCTTCCTCTCTGTATATCTAACTTTCCAATGAAAATAAATAAAAAATACGTCTTTTTTAAATTGGAAGCAATTGTCTCATTCATTATCCCCCATTTCTTGGCCCTTCCCACCCTAACTAGTGATCCACACGGGCTTACATCCATCCCTACTGTGTAACCATTATCAAAAATAAAACAAATTTATTTAAAAAGAGAAATAGGGGGTTGAAGGTATAAAATTCACCAGGATGGTCCCAAGGTGGGAAATTGAGCAAGTATGGCTAATGAGGATGCTCTCTATAAATAGTTCAGTATGCTCTGCAACTGCTGCCAGCAACAAGAGAGAGCCTTCCAAAGTCCACACTTGCTGCAGTAACCAGTACATACATTATGCAACAGCTAATAAAGAGTCATAGCATGTTCAATATGAATTGTACTATGGCCCAATATCCTCTTTAGATATTAGCCTCTAAGGTAGGATAGGTTACCAATACTATCTATCAATCCAGTAGTCATCATGTATTTGATCAAATAAAACTGAAAGACTGTATGAAGTCACTTGTGTTTGATCACCAGAGGCACCTACTACAGATTTTTCATGCCTATTACATGAGGGCATGGAAAGTCTGACAACAGCTGCCAAATTTGGGAGGGGCTGGCTTTCATTATCCACCCCCCCACCCCCGTTCCTTCCTTTGCTACTACCACCATAGCCAGGGAATTAAATTTTTCCCTGTAGGTATGGCACTGCAGCATAGCCGTGCCAACATCCTATTAAGGCATTAGTTCAAGTTCCGACTTTTCTTCTTTCAATCCAGCTCTCTGATAATTTGGGAAAGAGCAAAGTGGTCAAAGTGCTTGGGCCCCTGCACACCTGGAAAAGCTCTTGACTCCTCACTGGGTTCAAAACAGCTGTTCAGGCCATATGGGGAGTCAACTAGCATATGAAATATCTCTCATTCTGAAATTCACTCTATTTGTAATTCTTCATATAAATAAAAATGGGTTTTTTCTCATTCTGAACTTGCAGCCTGTCATGTGACCTCTCAAATTAACTGAGCAGTTACTGTGTCACAACATAGTCCCCTGAAGGAACAGCACAATAGCCTAGCCACTAAAGGCCTCATCTTGCATGCACCAGGATGAACACCACCAGGTCAGTGGGTGCGAACTTGTCATCTGAGCTTTTGCTCTGGAACCTTTAGTTCAAGTCCCACTGGAGTCTGACCCACTCAGCATCCCTCAGATGAAACCACAGTTCATTTCTTTTAAGCAGCTCCCTCATAGGCCTTCGAAAACAAAGTCACTTCAGCTCAGGAAACAAAGAAAGATACAAATCATAACATTTTAAAGAGTGTTCTCAGCAGGAGAGCTGGGACAGGGAGTGGGCTGGTCTGGGAAGCAGATGAACAAAAAAACAAGCCTCATTACCATTCCAGTCGCAAAACTACAGGAGAAATCAGATGGACAGCTACTCACAGATACAGGAGCACCAGGCTGGTAGCCACAAGAACCCAGGTTTCTAAGGAAAAGTCTGGCATCAGGTCCATTGTCACTCTCTGCTGCAGCTCTCTCCTCTAAGTGTTCCCTGCAGCTGTGTGTGCTGCTCTTTGCTGGGCTATGAGCTGCCCTGCCCTATAAGCTGTTATCCAGTCAAGGTGACTGGAATATTTATGTATGGAGAAGGGGGTGTGACTGGACCTACAGCCAATAGAAGGGTTACTTGTGCCCCGCCTGCAGTCTGGGGCTCTCTCCAACTTGGCAGTGGGCCAAGAACAATTTGCAAATATACAAATATATGAAAAATTACAAATAGAGTGAATTTCAGAATGAAAATCATAGACATCCCTCAGTGATCCTGGTCAAGTTCATGTTCCGTGGTAAATCAATTCTAAAAAAAAAAAAACTCAAAAATAACCCTCAACATTATTGATTTATTAGTCACATCAGAAACAGGTGAAACTCTGACAGCCAATCTCCCCTAGTCGACCTTTCTCTCCACAGCTGTCCTCCACCCAAATGATTTGAAATCAAAACAACCTACACCTAGAAATCTTACTCAGAAAGTTTTGTCTGACTAGAATGCCCATGTGACTCTAGAAGGCTCCAACTCCTTCAAATCCCAAAATACATAGAACCATCCTGGTAGAGTCTTTCTTCACCAAATTCCTTTAACACAGAAAAGCACTCTCTCCTCCAGGTGTATCGTTAGTCACACACACGCACTTGGGTCACTGTCCTCCCTGCTCTCCAGCTTCATATTTGGCTTCCACATCCCAAGCATCTCAAGGGCATGGCTGGGTCTTAGTCTCTGTTGTGCTCCCAGTTTCTAGCACAGTGAGTCTCAACAGGCTGATTGAGTCAGGTATGCCCTGTATGCCCTTTAGCTGTGACCCAGTAGGGAATACTACATCTTCCTGGATTATTGCACCAGCCAAGAGGAGCTGTCAGGGTCTCAGTTCCCATCACTGTACCTTGAGGCTGGTCCTGCTGCAGTAAGAACTCCTAAGGAGTGGATGATCTGCCCTGAGCTATGTCAATTCAAGCTGCATCCTGTGTACACAGATGGCCCTGCAGTAGACAAATCAGATTGCACTCACTATCACCCCTGCTCTATAGAAAGATTACTTGTGTAAGAATAATGGATGGGGCCCGGCGCGGTGGCACAAGTGGTTAAGGTCCTCGCCTTGCAAGCCCAGGATCCCATATGGGCGCCAGTTCTATCCCGGCAGCCCCGCTTCCCTTCCAGCTCCCTGCCTGTGGCCCAGGAAAGCAGTCGAGGACGGCCCAAAGCTTTGGGAACCTGCACCCGCGTGGGAGACCCGGAAGAGGCTCCTGGTTTCGGATCAGCATAGCATCGGCCCGTTGCGCTCACTTGGGGAGTGAATCATCGGACAGAAGTTCTTCCTCTCTGTCTCTCCTCTCTGTATATCCGCCTTTCCAATAAAGAAATAATAAAAAATAAATCTTTAAATAAAAAAAAGAAGAATGGATGGACATTATAGAAAAACACAAGAATAAAAGGAAAAAACACAAGAGCAGAGCAGCTCAAAAGGCCAGGTGAGGGCCCAGCACAATAGCCTAGCCACTAAAGGCCTCATCTTGCATGCACCAGGATGAACACCACCAGGTCAGTGGGTGCGAACTTGTCATCTGAGCTTTTGCTCTGGAACCTTTAGTTCAAGTCCCACTGGAGTCTGACCCACTCAGCATCCCTCAGATGAAACCACAGTTCATTTCTTTTAAGCAGCTCCCTCATAGGCCTTCGAAAACAAAGTCACTTCAGCTCAGGAAACAAAGAAAGATACAAATCATAACATTTTAAAGAGTGTTCTCAGCAGGAGAGCTGGGACAGGGAGTGGGCTGGTCTGGGAAGCAGACCTGGCTAGATTATGCTGCTGTACCCACTGGAACACATGGGAGGCAAAATGAGTGTGGGCCAGCCAGGCTGGCCACAGCCCCAGCTGGCATGTTCCAGAACTGGGTGCGAGTTATGTCAGGTTGGCTGCAGTACCCCTGGTAGGTGCAAGATTTGGGGCTGGGAACATGCCTGGCAGGGAAACTATGGGCATTTCCCTAGTAAGCTGTACCTATCACTGACGGGCAAAAGAACTGGGGCTTGGGGCGGGCCAGGCTATACAAGGCAGTGGCACCTGTTGGTATACTTCAAGGTTAGGTCTGGTGGCAAGTCAGACTGAGCTAAGCACAGCACCCGTGGGTGTGCACAAGAGCCGGATGGGATGTGGGTTGGGCTGGGCTAGGTCACAGTAGAGGTTTGCAGGCACAAAAACCAAGGCTGGCCTAGTTTAGGTTATTGGAGATCACTCCTACTAAGCTATAGAACCCACTGATACACCATAGGTCTGTGGCAAGATGGCCTAGCTGGGTGACAACACCCATCTCTTGGAGTGAGATATGGAACTAGGGAGGAACTGACAAGGCAGTTGCATCCATTGGTATATGCATTGGCTGGTGCAGGTGACAGACCACACCTGACTTTGCATTGGCTGGCACACACAGGAGTCAAATCTGAGGTTAACCTAACTGAGGTTTCTTGAGGGTCTCCCCCTAAACTGCAGGACTCAGACCCCGTCTACAGGGAAGATCACAGGATATGTGATCTGACTTTGGAGTGCATGCACTGGGGCCGGGCCCCCTGAGTTACTGCCTTTGAGGTAGACAGCAGGCTTAGAGGCACATGACAGACATGATGGCCATCTCATCTAGGCCAGTAGGGGACATCAACTGCCCCATCAGAGGATGGAAAGCAGAACAGGTTGCACAATTCTGACCAAACTTTGCAGCATGTCCCTGAGTCTGTGGATGCAGTAAGGTAAGCTTTGCCAACCAACAGATTTTGGAAAGATTTTCTCAACCCTGGAACAGCAAAATCAACAGCTTCTCAGAATTATCAAAACTGTTCAATCAACACCTTCAGGATACTCCCACCCCAGGGTCTCTAAGGCATCGTCAAATGACTGATCCCCACACCCAGGTACTGATGTAGACGCTGACAGCAAGGAGTGGCCCCATCTCCTTGATGAAGACACAGGAGGAAAAAAAAAAAAGCATTTTTCTCACCCACCTTTCTCAGAACCTGACACTCTCCGCCCTAATCGCAGGTCCACATGCACATACATCCAATCTCAACTATGTAAACAATATTAGAAATTAAAAAAAAATGTAAGGTACTGTTGGGTATCCTTTCCCTCTGTTCCCAAAGAAGAACATATTCTAACAAGAAAGGATTCTAGCGGCATCTGATAGCTATGAATTATCTCACATAATCCAAAGCCAGTTTAAGCTATTTGGTTGCAAAAGCCCCTGTGAAATGGATATGCTTTTATTTTCCTCCAAAAAATAATAGCTGGCTAAGATGATTTCATAACCAGGCCTTATATGGTCATCCACTTTCCCCCTTTAACCTCAGGATCAGACTAGCTGGAATCTAGACCAGGAACTAAAGTGAATCTAACACCTAAACAAAGCAAATGATCTTCTTAGCATAGGAAAATGGTAGAGAACAAATTCTTGGTGCCACTTAATTCCATAGACAATAACACCTCCTAACATGAAGATTTGCAAACTGAGAAATATACCAAATGTGAGAAAACACTGTGTGGGGAAAACACCCAATCCACCAGGTCTTCCATTTAGTCACTCACGGTTTAACCCCTTATCTGTTCTCCATAACATAGAATGATAAACAATATCCAAACATACTTATCACAGGTAGCAGTGAAATAAACAAGAAATAAACTTCAGGACAAATAATCAGACAAGTAAATAATCAACAGTAAATGGCTCAGCTTTATCTCAGAGTCCTCAGCAATGGGTCAAAGTTAAATGTTAAATAACATTCAGGAAAGCACTAGGCTCTGATTTCAAAGGAAGTTTGTTACCTAGGGACAGAGTAATGCAAGGAACGTGTTCATCCTGAAAACCCCATCTTTTCCTACTTTGACCAATTCCTAGTCTGCACTTTACAAAAGCAAAAACAGCCTCCTAACAGCTAATTTGCCTAGAGATGGTTTTACTTTCATCACTAGCAGAGCCAGCATAATTTAGATTGCCTAGCATTACAGGTTAATGCCTTTAAAAATTAATGTCTTAGCCTTTCTAATTAAAGAACAGATTTCATATAGTTCATAGATAAGATTCCAAGAATATGACAGTTTGCTCTCTTCTTCCTTCCTCCTTCCTCTTTTTTCCCTCTAATTTTTGTGACAATGTATAATCTAATTGTAATCACAGTTTTAATCTGCCCGCCACATAAAGAGTCCAAGAAGCACAAAGTAGAACTCACACTATTCCATGGCATTGTGGAATGCCTCAGTCTACAGGATAAGCCTTGTTCACACTGCACAGGCACAGGAAGGGGTGGGACTGCAGCTGAGCATTTTAGTGGGCAGTGAGCAGAGCTCCTGACCTTTCACAGGACCAGGTGAGCCTCTCTAGCCAGCCTGGCTTCAAGACTAGGGTATGGCAGGGGAAGTCCTTCCTACCCTCCTTGCACTGCTCATGAGCCCTGCTACAGGACTTCATTGTGCTGACTCATGTCCTATCGCCTCCTGCAGTATCTCTCCTGACTAACTCCTAAACCTCTCCACAGCACTTCACAGTTCACCAAGTTCTTCCACGTCTTTCTTAGTTGATCCTCATGGAAACCCTGGGAGACAAGTGATGCTCAGATTGCACTGGTTCCACTCTACAGATGTAGAGAAAAGCATGGAAGAGGGCCCAGTTCAGTAGCCTAGTAGCTAAAATCCTTGCCTTGCATGCTCTGAGATCCCATATGGGCATGAGTTCTAATCCCAGTGGCCCCGTTTCCCATCCAGCTCCCTGCCTAAAGCCTGAAAAAGCAGTCAAGGACGGTCCAAAGCCTTGGTAACCTGCACCTGTGTGAGAGACTCAGAAGAGGCTCATGGCTTCAGATAGGCTCAGCTCCAGCCGTTGCGGCCACTTGGGGAGTGAATCGATGGATGGAAGATCTTCCTGTCTCTCCTCTCTGTATATATGACTTTCCAATAAAAAATAAAACCTTAAATGT